GATGGGTCGTCATTGCGTAGTGCATTGGGCCACGGAACGCAGGTACTGCTTGGTGCCATCCATGTTGATGACGAGGAGGTGTGCGAGAGCGATCCGGCTGGGAAGGAGGAATTCCATTCATATCCGCGCTGTATTGGGAGATCAGGTCCTGGGACGCCATGATGTAGAAAGGGTCACGAGATAATAGGTCAAAATGCGCTCGAACTGCCGAATGAAAGCTGCGGAAAATGTCGAGGTGAGACAAGGGTAATGTGTAATTGAAATAGTGTGAGACATAATACGTGGTCCCAGTGTGTGAAACGTAAAGTGAAACCGAATCGGACCAAAGGATCAAAAACATGAGCATGCAGCGATTCACAAACCTTTTGAGGAAGAAGTGGCGTCAATACCGAATGTCGGGAGAAGCATTGTTACTCCAAAATGATCGGGCAGGGCCACTAGGCTCACTGTATCGATGACGTAGAATAGTCGATACTTGTTCCGGTGCTCCTCAAGGGTAAGGAGTTCACCAACGAGATCTGGAGTGGTAGGTCGAGTGTCGAGAACGAGGTCTGCCTTCATGGTGCTGGTCGCGAGAGTGGTCTTCATGGTATGATGAGCGGCGATCTCGGCGGCTGTAGGTTGAATTGTCCCAAGAAGCATTGTCGTGCCAAGATCGGCGAGCATAGTCCCGAGAGCCAGAGGCAGCGGTCTCGCGGTGGCTCGGTGTGTCGCGAGAGTCGTCTGGGGGCGGCTCCGAAGGTTCTGGGACGTCGGCAGAAGGGTCAGGTCGTACTGGACGTGCAGGATCATCAGGAGGTTCCGAAGGTGCATTGGTCTCCGCAGTCTGGTGTGTGATCAAGCCCGGGAAAACCGTGTGAGTGGAGGCAGCTACGTAGCATATAGATGCGGCGCTTGAGTTCATAGCCGTTGCATTGTCTTTGCCCTTGGCGATGCCCGCAAGGTTGCACAAGCGTTGGATTTGGTCATTTCCTCCAGCTAGGGCACGGATGCATTTGGGTGAGCGGCATATGGCCAGTAGGCCTGATGGGTTTTGTCCTTTGCCTATTTTGTAGAGCTGAGAGGTACAGATCTTGACAGCATAGCCGGGTAGGTTGTCGATGTCTGCGATCTCAGAGGACATTCCGAAGAACCCGTAACATGGGTATTGAGTTGGCATGCCGGCTTCGTTTTTTGTCCAAGTTGCCGGGCGAATGCAGTCTTCCGCCAGAATTTTGGCAACTGTTTCCCAACTCGTTTTGTGGTAGATCAGGTAGGTGCCCATGTGTTCGCCACGGTAGATTGGTTTCTTTGGCAATCCTGTGGGTACCGTGATGGTCAGCAGGTTCTCTGGCTCGATGTAGAAGGCCTGTGTTTGCCTCGCAAGGTCGATGTCCAGCAAGTTGGATTGTGCAAAGGCTCTGGCAATGTTCCTGACGGTGGCTTGGCTTGCTTTGATGTAAATACGATGGTTGTTGACGGTACGGTATGGTTGAGCCAGCTGTTCGAACATCGCGTCCACAAATTGGTTGAAGAGCTGCAAGATAGCCGGAGTCAATGATTGGCGTAGGGGAACAACATGGTCGGGGCCAAGCTCAGTCAGGCAACGGACCCTATGGGGGTCATTGGCCGCCTCCACCATTTCATCGAGGTCGATGTCATTCGTGTCAAACTTGGTGATCGAAATTGTATCTGCAACCTCAGAATTTTCACTGTCGCCGTCCGGAACTCGGAAGGACACCGCGCCGAGTGGTGCTGAAGTGTGGGTTGGTGGGTTGGTTGGTGGTTCCGGTAGTGGTGGATCGGCAGGAGAATTGGGTCGAGCAGTGTGGTGGTGGTAGTTGTCGGTGTAGTGGCTTTCGTTCCATGAACCCCAGGTGTCATCAGCATCGGGAGTGGGAATGTAGTTCGGATTGGATGGGTTTGCAGCAGGTCGAAGTACGACTTCACGGCCTCTGGATCGGTGACGAGGTGTCGCGGAGCGTGGGCGTGGGTGAGATCGATGACGTCGAGGAACCACAGGAGAGCGACGTCTTGGCGGTGATCTTCGTCTGTATGGGGATGGGGTTCGGCGGTCCTTGGCGTGTTTCGTGGATGATCGATAACGAGGAAGAGGAGAACGAGGTCGAGCTGCACGTTGAGGAGATTTGCGATGGTGATGGGAATGTACAGAAGGTCGATGGGAACGTGATCTTGGAGTGCTGGATCGTGGTCGGCGTGTTGGTGGTGGTGGAACTTGTGGTTGGTGAGGAGGAGCGATGGCTGGAGCTGGGACAATGCGAAGGTCCTGAACGTCCGGTTCGGTGGGTCTGGCTTTCGGTGCAGGTGGAGGCGTGGCGATCAATGGTGGTGTGGTTGTAGGTGGCGGTGTCGGTGGTGTAGGATTCGGTGGAGGTTCATCATGTTGAAGAAGGAGTTGACGTTGTTCTTGTGCTCGTTGAGAATCCATGATCAATTGTTGCTGAGCTTGAATAAGTCGAACAGATTCAGCAAGTTGTTGTGCAGTGGAACCCAGGGATGCAAGTTCAGGTGGCACGGATGAAGTCGGTGCTGTCGTAGGTGCCGGTGTTGTAGCGTGAGGAGGGGCTTTCGGAGCTGGCCTGCGCGGTCGATCCGGTCGTTTGTCAGAGCGATGCCTGGGAGCTGCCTTGACTGCTGGGGCCCGTGGTGAAGGCTCATTTGGAGGGACCGTCGATGCGTCCATCTGTAATGGAGGTTGAATGTGGTGAGGTGGGTATGGAGAACTGGGCAAAGGTGTCGATGTCATAGTCGATGTAGGTGGTGTAGTCGATGTAGGGGATGGAGCCCGAGGGGAAGGCCACGTGGGTGGAGCGGTGGGTGCCATAGGAGATGGAAAAGTCGACGGAGCGGTGTGCACCATAGTTGGTTCAGGGGCCAAAGGCGAAGGCATGGTGGGTACGAGCTGTGGGCCTGGTACCGCATGAGGAGCCGAAGTCAATGAGGTGAACGGCAACGATGTTGGGGTTGATGTAGACGGCATGAGCGACGCTGAGGATGACCATGTAGGATGCAAGGCCGAGGGATGTCCAAATAGATGTGCATTCGGCGTTGATTGCTGCCACGTCGAAGATGGGTTCGCAGGCTGCGGTGGAGCAGGCCATGACGTTGGCGGAGTGTTCCACGGATGCATCGCTCCAGTAGATCAAAACAACAGTGAACAATCACATACAGGATTCAGTCCCTAACAGCCTAAAAAGTCGTGCGATTATTCCCTGCACCGGGACCGTGGTCAAGTCGTGCCGCAATGGCATAAAACAGCTTCCAAGTTCCAACGAATTAAATGCACAATATGTTGCACCTCACCAAATAACCATCAAGAGAAAAAGTCACCACACCTGAAAGTCATGTGCCTGCCTGTGGCAAGTGTCGTAACATGATGCAATGTCGCTGTAAAAGTGCTGCAAAAAACGGAGGTTTCTGGCAATTCAGAACGGCTTCACAGTTGAAGAAACGCATCGGCGAGGAATCCCTGGGACCACAAGATCAGCGGGACAATTTCAAAAGGCTGGAAAAACAGTATGGCCGGCTGTTGCAGTTTACTTAGATGAATTACCAACTTAAAATTCGTAAATTCGGTAGTCCGGACAGTCATCACTCACCCTGAAAAGGGTTGCCTCAATTGGCTCCATGGCACCATGTCGGAGCCACCATGGAAATCACACTAGACAAGAATGGATCATTATATGATCCGGCAGGAACTGAATCCTGAAACATGCAAACCAGCCTAGATCGTTAGATTAATAAAGGAGCCATATGAGGTACTTCTCGAAAACGATGTAGGGCATCCAATATTGTCAAACGTAGTTAAAACCAGAGTCCATAGAGTTTTGACCAGCATGTTGAAAATCCAAAATAATGTTTCGGCGATTGTTTCCCAAAAAGACCCAAAGTTCGTCGGCGACATGATCTCGGCGAAAATATGCCAAAAAATCATAATACTGTCGGCGATATGGTTTCGGCGAAAATCTGAGGAAGGTTCTGATGCATGCAATACAGATTGTGGCAACCGTGTAGAGTCGAAACAACGCAGTGTAACAGCTTGGTCAACAGTTCAAACAGAGTTTTGCAGGTACAAGTGGTTGATCAGACCACTCATCCACCGAAATGCCATAGCTTCGTTGGACTGGATAGGCAAATCGGCTCCAGTCCCCCTGCGAATATAAACAGGTTTCCTGTAAAAGTAACACGGCAAGAGTCAAGGAAGTTTTACATCTGTTCAGATGTTACACACACACGTGGTATCGATTGCACGTGGAAGAAAATCAAAGATAAGCTTCCACCGGGCATTCATACCAGAAAGAAAGGCAAGATCAACAAAGATCAACAAAGCACAGCAGGGACTGCGTGCTGCGAGCGGACTGCCAAGCAACTGAAAAGCAAGGGAAGATGTGAGGGTAGAAAGTGAAGTTGACCGACAAAGGGTTCCAAAACTGTGGTAAAACGCGATTTTTTCAAAACATCATGCTGATTTTGGGCAATTTTTTTGAGCCTCAAAAAACACAATTTTCGCTGACGGCGCAAGGGATTGCGACTTTCAATGTTGAAAATACCGTCCTGTTAACCCCCCCGCACGAGTTTATCATGCTTACTGGCAATCGTAATTGCCTCATCTAAACTGACCTAGATGGTGATCTCTGCTATCTGCTATCGTGTGTTCTCTTAGCTTTGATCAGGATCTACAGTAACCCAAGCAACCAGGGTCGGCAATAAGTTGCTCAGGAGGTTACAAGAAAAGGATATGACATACTCAACAAATGACACAAGCAACATATGCCTGATTTCAAACCTCTCACGAATCCTGGAAGAAAGATGACGAACAAACAAGCTTCGAATTGCATGCAGTTGTGCTCTGGTGAACTAATAGCTGGCAATGGAGAATCCCCCGGCCGGGATTCTCATTGACAGATTGGAGGGAACAGGAATCCCTGTTTAACTATGTGCAGTAAGATGATCCAGCCAAAAAAACACCAGAACCATCCATATCCCAGCACGGACTCCACCTTCCAACTCATCTTGTTGACCTGCCAATCTGGGAACCCTGAAGTGAAAAACAAGCAATGCTTCCTCCCGTCTCCCCCTGGGAAAATGCTATATCTCCGACTTGTTTTTTTTCCGGATAAAAGTATGTGAAACTTGAGAAATTGATTGTGAAAACCATGGTTTCTTTAGCCATTAAAAAATGCGGGAATCCCACCTAAAGAAGGTGCTTGCCAGTTTAGGTTGCCAGAGGCTACCAATCATTGTTTTTCTCGTCCTCGCCAATGTCTTCTCTTGTCCAACACGAAGCCCAACAGCTCTTCTACACGCGGAGATGGCCAATATATGATGATATAGATACCTTACATAAGCACCCTTAAGCCGTTGGGTTCCCCAAAAAGCACTTGGGTCGATGGAAACACTCAAAGATCATATTCTTTGTTGGTTCACAACTCAATCTTGATAGGTTCCATCCCTGTGACTTGTGGTTGCCATCCCTATATCTGGTTCAAATACGTTCAAATCAGACTCTTCAACTTCCCCATCACACCCATTCCCCACCTTCATCGCCAGCATCTTCATTCAGGTTACCTTCATCCTGAGGATCTTCCACTGGGACAGCTTCCGAACGTGCTTCAGGTTGAGGTTCCTGGTCCACATCTCAAATCAGTCACCCCAGGGATGAACAAAGACTCACTGGTTCAGAATTCGCACCAAGTTTCATGACAAGTTCCAACAAATGCAACTACCAAAACCATCATTCACCATCACCCAACATTAACCAACCATCACCCACCTCTCCCAGCTCCATGGGCTCCATGGGCTCCATGGGTTCCATCGGCTCCGCCGTCGAGCCGAGGATTCCATCGAAGAAATACGCCAGCTGCCGCTCCGACAGCGCATGCCGCCGGGTGGGCCGAGCGGCTTTCTGTTTGCCTCGGCCGCGTTTCTGGTTCTGTAAAGAAAGGATATAGAGTATCATGAAGTAGAAAATAAGAATATGTTGGTATATATATATATATACATAGAGTATGTTTACTATCATAATATTCTAATATATTATGATTATTTATCATTAGTTGTTATCATTATCATTCTTATGATCACTATTGTTCTCATTATCATCATTATTGTCATTATTATATAATATATATTATAATATTATATAGATCATCAACCTCAGTAATTTGAAGTGTGTCTGAACTTGGGTGATTTACGATTTACCCCATCCAGGGCCTAGCATGATTGAGAATCCATGGATTACGAGTGTAAAGCCCATTTTCTGCAGCGCATCCCTGGCCTTCGCTGAGAGCCCGAGGCTTGTGCTGTAGGAATTTCACCCCCTTCTTGGCTTCAGCAAAGGAACGCATCGCCTTGTTGGCGTCGTCAAGGGGAGCCAATGGACTCACAAGATGCTATCATAGTTCAAGTATCACATAATAGCATGTGTATGTATATATATATACAAGACCGTCCATTCAGGGGGGGTGATGTGAGTGATCATAATGATCATATTGACACATTGTTGATTTGATCATGCTGACCCAGACTGATACTGGGCCTTTTGTCGCAGCGACCAACTGGATTCGTAAGGAGTAAATTGGAGTACTGAGAGACTGAGGGGATCCAAATGAAGCAGTCATCCATGGCTAGTGAATTTCCCATATCACATGATATTCCAATGCTGTTAATCTCCTGCATCTTGAAACCACTCAGTAAAACTCTCCAACACCTGCCTTGCCATTGCTGCTGCAAGTGGGCATATCGTGTTCCAGCCCAACAGCCACTACCTAAGGCTTCAGGTGGAAAGCTCCCTCAACATCTAAGCCACTAGCAGCTCAAGGGCTTGGTGAGAATAAGCCCCTCCTTTTGCGTATGTTCTTGAATGCCTTTCCTATGATAAAATTGCATTCATTGGAGTGTAGTTGATTGTTGGGCGTACCACATTCTTGATCATTCCATTCCTGTTGATCTATTGGTTGTGTATGAAAACCCCGTATCATTTTGAATGTCCCCAAATCATGTTATCGGTTTTTTTACTTTTATCGTTTTCTCAGGTGGTGGGCTCTCTGTACTAGAAACGTGAAATTTTCAGCTGCAGCTGTCTGTAGGTGTGAAAGCATTCTCGGTCGAAAGTCAACAGCTTTCATCTGTTCCTTTCATTCCCTGTCATGTTCCTTTCATTTTGCATTCATTTCCCTTAATGTTTCTTTCATGTTGCATTCAGTTCCTTTTATTTCGCATTCATTTCCTTTCGTGTTCCTTTCATTTTGCATTGTTCTTTTAGACTCTTATCATTTTCTGTGCCGGTAATGCATTGGTAGTGCTAAAGGGCAGGCCAAGCTAAAATGAAAGGCTGTTATTTTACTGTCCCATGATGTCCCATGTATAACCCCCATAGACCAAACCCAATACAACATACCGTATAAGTATGTGTTCGTAAATTGCGTTTCCACACCACATCATTATTCCTCCCACACCAAGCGACGTCAAGCGTCGCTTTGGACACTTTCTTTGAAACGCGGAAGCCCTCTGGAGTTTCCTTGGGCGAGGGCTCCTCCCTCACAAAGGAACAGCCCATAAACCTACCATTTGGGGATGGTTCATACCGCCCCTTTGCGGCGGGATGGTTGGTTATTGGCTTTACCACATTACGAGCTGTTCAAGGTATCCCAAAGTATCCCTACTTTTTTGGGACATCCGAACGCTTCTCCACACGGAGCCTGGTTAAAAAAAAAACGCTGCTGACGAGAGACGGCATCCACCACTGACAAGGCCGAAATGATTCTCTCAAAGCGCTGCAGTTCCTGGGTCAGGATGGGTCGGAAATCTTCAATCGATGGGTTTAGGGGAAATGTTACAGGAAACCCAATGTTTCATATGAAAAACATTGAAACACCCATGGTTTCGGGTTAAGAAACCAATCCAGTGAAATTTCTGATTTGGTGGATTTTGAACCCAAGATTTTGGGTGATTTTGGGAATCCTTGGGGCTAGAAAGAAATCTCCCTTGGGCAAATGACAAGTGAAACCTTGGTTTCACAGCCCTTGGACTTTGGGAAGTTCTTTGGGTTGGCAGGGCCCTTGTTTTTTTGCCAATCATTCCCATGGTTCATGAAATCCCCTAGTGTTGGTTGCTTATCATTCAAACACATCCATCTCATGAACATGATTTGGTGATCCCCTCCCCATCATCCCCATCCCTTCCAAGTCTCGGCAGGCCCTGCCATCTGCGCGGCCAGCTTCTGGTAGGTGCTTAAGGCGCTCCGCGACACGCAGAGCCGTCGCCCTTCCAAGACTTGGTGAAGCTCTTGCAACACCGAGTCCTGAGGAGATGGGGGGATGGGTTGGACCGTTGTTTGGCCCCATTTTCCAGCCCATTTTGATGGGCTAAAATATGAAAACAGCCTGGAAACCTGGGTGTCTGTATTCTTGGATCATGTTGGATCTATTTTGGTTTGGGCTAATGGAAATTGGCTAAAAATAGGGGATGGGATTATAGAAGTGGTGGTAAGGAACCAACATCAGTGGGTCCGGAAGCCAACCCAACAATGTTTTGATATTATGTTAGTAAGGAGATAAACTAACACACCAAGTATGGCCCGTGACACCCTGCTTACTCAATTTTCGACATACAGCAACTTATGCGCACTTCCTGTGGCTGGCTACACCTCCCATTCCTCATCAGTGAAATCTCTGCCATTTGCCTGGGTGTTTCTGGGTTTAGGTATCTTCCAATGATTGTTGATGATATTGAGAAAACCGACAAGATCAAAGTAGATTGATTGTTTTTGTGTTTTTTGTCTCCGTTTTGACCATTTTTGGCATCCATCATCGATTGAAACAGCGCTCCTCAGTCTCTTGAACGGCCTGGCGCTGGGATCCAGGTTTCTTGAGAAATCATGAGACAATCAACGTGAAAATCATCAATAAATGGGAGATAACATGGGATATCATGGGAATTCTGAAATTCAAATTTGAAAAATTGGTTGTTTTAGGGATTCCGAAGACTTTACTATTGAAATGTTTTACTATTGAACTGTTGACTTTGCAATGGGGGTTGTCCCGAGATAGGGTACCCACAAGTCCAATGGATTGTCATCATGATGTTCCCCACTTAAATGGCCATATATTGCGGGTTTTGCCCCCCTTTTCAGAGATATACCAAGATCCTATTGTTGGTATTTTTGGTTCTATATATATATATATATTCAATTTGTTTCCCCATTCATATCCCATTGGTATCCTGTATGTGTCCCATTCAAATGGCCCTATTTTCTTTCACATCGGCAACAACCTCCGATGGGCCTGTTGCTCCAACACAGGATCGTCGAAGGACCAACCCACCTGCGTCTCCGAAAAGATTGATCCAGAATTCTGAGCAAAAAAAATCCACCAATCTTGGCCCAAAAAAAACATGACCCCAAAAACATTGGTCAATGCAGCATGGATCTTTGGTTGGCACCTGGCCATGAGACAGATTGGAGGTCAGCGCAATCAAGGCCGTGGTGTCCAAATTCACCGCTTCGTAGCTCTGCCTCAGCCATCAGGATCCAACGTTGCCCACGATGACATGGGATTGTCTGACATGTTTAAAAGGAAAACCTCTGAATTTCATGGTTAATCAATGTTAATCACCATTTTGGGAGGCACCCCGTTTTTTTTTCAGACAAACGCAGCGACATGACATTGCTTCACGTTTTTGTCTTTTGAGTTACCCAGTAAAATGTAATGACTTTGGCAGTTTCGTAGTCAACATGTAAAAAAAGAGTTTACCTCTGGATTTGCCAACAAGAGTTGCATGCATGGACATTCTAATATCTCAAAAAAAAACTGCCCTCTGGTAATCTGACACTGCTATGGTATGTATATATATATATATGATTATGTATATATATCTATATATATAGAGAGAGAGAGATGAACCTTTTGTCGATGATTTATCTATCATGAAACATGGTGCAAACAAAAAACTGCAGACTGTTTGATTAGCAGAGGGTCCTTGGAGGATCATCACCAATAGT